GGGTCTGAGTGTAGCGCAGTGAAGAAGTAGGCTGTCTCTGTGATGGGGGGTGGTGCGGACATGGGGACACCTTTCTCCCTGCGGTGGACCTGCCCTGGGGGGCTGCGGGTGCTCAGCATGGTCCGTTCACAGTTAATGTTGCTCTTGACGGTGTCCGACGCTGTGTGGGTTTGGGAGAGCCTCCCAGGGCAGCTGTGCCAACTGGAGCAGAAACGTGCTCTGAGAACAGACCCGAGTCTCTGCTTGATCCCCTCCAGTGATGGGAGGCTCACTGCTAGCTTCTTTGTTCACTGGACCCACGTGTGGTTAGCACCCACTCTGTGCGCTGGCTGCTCGTTGTTTTGGAACGTTCTTCCTTTCCCGGAGACGGCTCCAAGCTGGCCAGCGAGTGCAGCGATGGCGTGTGGACAGGCTGCTGTGGGCCTCCAGCTAAACACGGGCAGGACGAGGACGGCAGAGGAGGGCATTTCTGCTCATTCATGTTTCCTTCATTCACGCCTGTGTTCACCGTGGAGGGCTGTTTGCTGGGCGCTGTCCTCGGTACCGAGCCCGGCAATGAGCAACAGAGGCAGAGGACCTGCCCTGTTGGAGCCGCTTTCAGCGAGAGGTGAGGGAGTTTGCCATCGGAGGAGAGGATGGGCATTCTCGGCAGAGGGAACAGCATGTGTGAGGCCCCAGCGATGTGACACTGTGTGTGGGTGGGTGGGCGTCTGCGGCATTCGGCTAGCATTTGGTGGCTGGGGGCGGCCGTTGCTTTTCTGGAAGCACTAAAAGAAAACACTGACTATGAGGGCTTGCTAGGGACGGATCTCACCCCTGGAGCCACCAGGTTCTGCCCCTCCCCACCCAGCCCCCCCCATCCCCTGCCAACAGCCCTGGGTTGCCCTTTGGGGGCATAGATGGTGCCCCTTGGCCCCCCAGCTGGCTCATCCCTTCTCCAGGCTCCCACATGGGCCCCAGTTTGCATTCTGTCCTGCTGTGTCCGTGAGGGGACAGGCCCAGCTCCGTGGTCTCAGCCTCCAACCTGCCCCTTGCCTGCAGGGGAAGGCTCAGGAGGGGATGCTGGGGTGCTGACTTGCATGCTTTGTTGAGGGAGGAAGGTGGGCGTGCTGGAGGCTGTCCAGCGAGCACAGCACTGCTGCGTGTCGGGCCCTGGGTGCTTGAACTCCGTGGGGCTTGGGCCTGCCTGCGGGAAGCTTGCAGGCCCCGGTGCGGTGTGGGGCGGAGGTGGTGGCAGACAGGAGCTCCCATGGGCCCCATGGTTCGGCACCACCTCCTGGGGCTGGTGGGAGGGAAGGCCCCAGAGTCAGGGACCATCCCTGCTTCCTCTGCTTCTGCTGCTGCCCACCCCCAGCCTAGGTAATTAGGGAAAGAAAAAAAAATACATATATATATGTATATTAGAAACATATAGGTATTTCCATAAAATGTTTATATTTCCATAAAACCTTTTTATGGAAATACAACATCCTTACAGAAAAGTGTGCATGGTGCTTGTTGAATTTTCTCCAACCGAAACGCCTGTGTAACAGAGTCCAGATCGGGAACGAGAACCTGCTGGCTCCCCAGGGCCCCTCTGGGCTTGTCCTTCACAGTCAGTAGCCCTGACCCAAGGGGGACCCCTTCCCTGATTTCTGGCATCTTCATTTTTACTTATTTATTTGCTTGTTTATATTTATATTGTATCATTTATTTGTTTGTTTATTTATTTATTTTTTAAGATTTTATTTATTTATTTGACAGAGAGAGATCACAAGCAGGCAGAGAGGCAGGCAGAGAGAGAGGAGGAAGCAGGCTCCCTGCTGAGCAGAGAGCCCGATGTGGGGCTCGATCCCAGGACCCTGAGATCATGACCCGAGCTGAAGGCAGCGGCTTAACCCACTGAGCCACCCAGGTGTCCCTGTTTGTTTATTTTTAAGTAGGCCCCAGGCTCAGCCCGGGGCCTTAAACTCACAACCCTGAGATCGTGACCTGAGCCAAAATCAAGAGTCAGATGTAACTGGCTGAGCCCCCCAGGCGCCACTGTATTTTTACTTTTTATTTATTTATTTATTTTATTTTTATTTTTAAATTTTAATTTAATTTAATTTAATCTTTTAAAAGATTTTATTTATTTGACAGAGATCACAAGTAGTCAGAGAGGCAGGCAGAGAGAGAAGGAAGCAGGCTCCCCGCTGAGCAGAGAGCCTGATGCGGGGCTCCATCCCAGGACCCTGGGACCCATGACCTGAGCCAAAGGCAGAGACTTCAACCCACTGAGCCACCCAGAGGCCCCATGTATTTTTATTTATTTATTTATTATTTTTTAAAGATTTTATTTATTTATTTGACAGATGGGGATCACAAGTAGGCAGAGAGGCAGGCAGAGAGAGAGAGAGGGGGAAGCAGGCTCCTCGCTGAGCAGAGAGCCCAATGCGGGGCTCGATCCCAGGACCCTGAGATCATGACCCGAGCCGAAGGCAGAGGCTTAACCCACTGAGCCCCCCAGGCGCCCCATGTATTTTTATTTTTAACTGTATTTGACACACAACATTACCAGCTTGGGGCGTACGCCAGTGACTTGACGAGTCTGTACGTTGTTCGGGTCGCTTCAGAGTAAGTGTGGTCCCGTCTTGTCACCACGTGAGGTCCTGACGATGCCACTCACTGTGGTCCCCCGTGCTGTGCTTTTCGTCCCCGGGACTTACTTATTTTATAACTGCAAGTTTGTGCCTTTTAATCCCCTTCCCCTCTTTTGCCCATCCTCCCCACTGTCCCCGTTCCCCTCTGTCATCCGCCGGTCAGTTGTCCTGCATTTGTGCGCGTCTGTTTGTTAGAATTTTATTTTATTTATTTATTTTTTAAAGATTTTATTTATTCATTTGAGAGACAGAGAATGAGCACAGGCAGGGAGAGGAGCAGGCAGGGGGAGAGGGAGAAGCAGGATCCCCACTGAGCAGGGAGCCCAATGGGGGACTCTGTCGCAGGAGCCCAGGATCATGACCTTGAGCCGAAGCCAGAGGTTAACCGACTGAGCCCCCAGGCGCCCCTGTTTGCTGGTGTTTGGAATGCCCTCTTTTTGTGTAGTGCTTGGCCAGGTGTTTCGCTGACCTTGATTTGTTGGGCTTTTCTGTATTCTGAGTAGGAATCCTTCGTGGTACGTAGGAATTGCAAACATATCCTTCCTATTCTGTGGTTAACTCTTGACACACACTCTGTCTCTCCATGTTGTCCTTTGACGTTCAGAAGCCCTTAATCTGAATCTTGTCCGTTTATCCATCCTCTCCCTGCTTTCCAGCGCTCCCTGGGTCCTGGTTAAGAAATCTTCGCCTACCTCAGTGTCATGAAGATCTTCTCTCGTGTCTTCTGCTAAAAGCTATATTGTTTTGCCTTTCTCCGTTAGATGCGCTGTCCATCTGGAATTGACCTTTGGGTACCACATGAAGTCAATGTATTAGTTTCCTTTCGCTGCTCTGACAAGTGAGCCCGAACGTGCCAGCCCCAAAACAACACAAATGTATTTTATCTTAACAATCCTGATGCCAGGAGACTGACATGGATCATTCCAGGCTAAAACCAGGATCCCGGCAGGGCCGTGTTCCTTTTAGAGGCTCGGGGAAGGATCTGTTTCTTGACCTTTTCCAGCTTCTAGAGACTGCCCACATTCTTGGGCTGGGGGCCCCCTCCTCCGTTGTAAAGCCAGCAATGTCACAGCGAGTTGTTGGCACGCTGCCCTCTCCCTGACTCTGTCCCTCCTGCCTCCCTCTTGCACTTTGAAGGACACTTGTGATCACTTTGGGTCCATCTGGGTAATCCAGAATAATCTTCCCATCTGGAGGTCAGCCGACTAGCATCCTTGATTCCGTCTACAACGTTAACTCCCCTCTGCCGTGTGGACGCTAACGTGGTAACAGCTTCGGGGATGGGGACATGAACACCGTGAGGGGGCTGTTATTTCTACCTGCTGTAGACGGGATCATGTTTTTTTTTCCCCTGTGGTCATCCGGTTGGCCCAGCATCGCTTATTATAAAGACTGTCCTTTGCTCCGGGGTATTTTTTTTTTTTTAAAGATTTTATTTATTTGTCAGAGAGAGAGGGAGAGAGAGCGAGCACAGGCAGACAGAATGGCAGGCAGAGGCAGAGGGAGAAGCAGGCTCCCCGATGAGCAAGGAGCCCGTTGCGGGACTCGATCCCAGGACGCTGGGACCATGACCTGAGCCGAAGGCAGCTAGCTGCCCAAGCAACTGAGCCACCCAGGCATCCCTGCGGTATTTTTTTTTAATGATTTCATTTATTTATTTGAGAGAGAGAGTGCGTGAATGGGGCGGGGGACGCATGAGGGCGAGGGAGAAGCAGACTCCCCACTGAGCAGGGAGCCTGAGGCCGGGCTGCGTCCCAGCACCCCTCAGAGATCACACCCTGAGCTGAAGGGAGACCCTTAACTGACTGGGCTCAGGAGCGGTGTTTTAGTATCTTGTGCAAATCCTGAACCTGGAGAGGAGGCGTGGCTGGCTGGGTCAGGGAGGGAGCCCAGGGATGGGGTGCTCTCCCGCAGCTCCTTGGCCTGGATGGGTGGGACAGTGCAACGGACAGAGAGGCCAGACACAGGAGCCCTCTGCTTCCTCTTCTGCCCCCGTCAGTGGGTGACCTCAGCAGGCCCCTCCCTCGGCCTCTAACTCCCATCTGTCGCAGGGACCCCTTTACCCAGCACCAGTTTCTGTCACTTGAACCTCACCACCTGGTCCCTGGCTCCGTGACCGGCAGCCTGGGCCTCAGTTTCCCATTCTGTGAGATGGGAATAAAGGTGGGTCAGAGGGCAGGTGAGTCAGCCGGTGTCTGCCCAGCATTGTGGGCCAGTGGGAGGAGGGCCCCAGCAGTTCCGTCACAGGGTGTGGGTGGCCACACAGCCTGGAGCAGGTTCTGGAGCCATGGCTGTCCCCTGGTTGTAAGTGTGCTGACTCTGTGTGTGTGTCTAAGGCAAGGGAAGTAAGCTGACCTTGACTTTCCTTCCCCTCCCCAGACCCGACACAGCCCTGATCCCCTTTGCTGTGCTGAGAGACGGGATCTGAACCACCCCCAGCCTGGGGGAAGATGGCCCTGCTGCAGTGTATCTGGCTCAGGTAGGACAGACAGTCCAGTCTTTCCCGGGGCTCTGCCATCACCCCAGGCCCTGGGCAGGATGGGAAGATCCTGACTTTACAAACTGGGCTTTCCAGCCCTGAGCAGGGTGAGCACGTGGGACTGGACCCCAGTTTTCTGGACTTGGCCCCTGAGGTGCCAGAGAAGCTGGGGTCCACTGTGGCCCTTGGGTTGTCCTCTGCTCAGCCTCTGTGTGCCCTGCCCTCCGTGTCCATGCCGCCGGCCCGCTGTGCCATCTTCCCGCCTCTGCCTGCCTCTCCTTGAAGCCACGTCGGCTGGTGGAGTTCAGGCCCCAGCTCTGCTGTGAGGCTCGGGCCAGCCCCTTTCCTGGGCTGGTTCTGGATGGCTGCCAGGCCCCTTGGTACTCCCAGGGGGACTCTGGACCCCAAGCAAGCCCCGTTAGCTCCCTGTCCTTCTTGGGGCCACCATCTCCTGCCATTGGCCTGCGGCCCCATGAGTGACAGGATTGCCCGGCCTGGGTCTGCTCTGTGGGGCCCCGCTGACCGGGTGAGAGCGAAGAGAGGGTGTGGGGACGGGGGCACAAGTAGGCTGGCTCCATTTTCCCCGGCCGCCCCGGGCCTGACGGGCGCTGGCGGGAGGCTCCCGGCTTGGACCGTCCTCTCAAGCTGGTCGAACTCGCAGGGAGGGCGCCGGGCAGAAGGCCCCAGCCTGGGTCAAGTGCAGACAAAATGAGCCTCCCTCCTGCGCAGGATGGGACAAGCAGTGAGCGCCAGGTGGGAGCAGGCCTGTGGGGATGGTGGTCACGTCCGCCTGCTGGACTCAGGGATGGGGGTGTTGAGGAGCCCTCGGCTGGCAGTCGGCACCTGTGGGGGGTCCGCTCTGTTTGGGGCCTGCCCCCCCATTCCTCTGGGTGGGTGTGTTCAGGGAGGGGAGGGACTCTTTGCTTCCCCCTCTCAGGTGTGTCCGTCTTTACAGCTTTAGAAAATTTTATTTTATTTAAATTTCAGTCATTGATACATAGTGTATTATTAGTTTCAGAGGTAGAGTTCTGTGTTTTTAAAAAAATAATTACGAATATTTCAGGCACTCAGAAAAAGGAATAAACAGAACCTGATCACCACCCACGTATGTCCTGCAGGACTTAAGAAAAACTCTTAGAAATAGAAACGGAGCCCCCAGTTACCACGCCCCAGCCCCGTTCCTACCCGAGACTCGCACCCCCCCGGCCGTCGCGATCAGCACAACTCCTGGTGCCTCCCGGGCCCCGGCCCCGTGGTCCAGGTTTGGACACCGCGGCCACCAGCCCCCACTGCCCCACCTCGCAGGCTCCGGGTGTCACCTGGCTTTTTGGCTTCTTGCCCATCTGATTGGGTGGGAAACGGGATCTCCTTGTGGCTTGGATTTGCATTTCCCTGCCGACTGGGAGGCCCGTGGCTGGCTGTCCGGGGACACCCTCTCCAAAGCGGTCTGTTCTCACCCGTCTGTCTGTCCGGGGTGCCCTTTGTCTTCCTCCCTCATGTCACAAGCTGGGGGGTACTTCCCGCCTGGGATTCTCCCTGGTCTTCGCTGTCCCCAGTGACCTTCCCAAGTGCCCTGTCACTTGGCCTCCTGCATCGCCCTCCAGGGTCCCTCGGGGACCTCACACCTGGCACGTTCCAAACCGGGCTCCCTCCCCCAGCCCCCACCTTCTCCAAGGTCCCTCCCAGCGTGGAGAGATGCCGCCTCCCGCGGGGCCCCTAGGTGCTCCCTCCACACCCACACCACTGGCCACCAAATGCCGCTCAGCACCTGTCCCCTCCAGCCCCCGCCTCTGTGGTGTTTCAGGCCACACTGTCATGTCCCTTGTCTGTCATAGCGGTCCCCGGGACCGTGGCCTCCCTGCCCTCATTCGCCCCAGTGCCCTCCTCAGTTCCTGAGTGACTTTGCCGACAGGCACATCTGGTCTGTCCCACCCATTGCTTGACGCCTTCCGGGGCCTCTCATCCACTCAGGCTGACGGCCTGTGAGGGACTGGGAGACCTTCCCCCACCCCACTGTCCTCCCCATCTCTGGATGACAGCTCCCCCCCCACACGTACATTTTAGCCCTAAATCCTCACCTCTGGTTGACCTGGCAGAACCTGGCCTCTGCCTTGAAGTTCGCCTGCCTGGCCCCCAGTGCCCTGGGCTCCCTATTCTGCAACACTCCCCCAGCCCCACCCCTGCGATGCTGCCTGGCCTGAGCCTTAGGGCTGCTGGTGAGAGCTCAGGCCACCCCGAGGGCGCCCCATCGGCCAGCACTCGGGCCCCAGGGCTGGGAGAGGACAGGGGAGCCTGGGCACTCTGGCTGCTGACCCCGGAGGCGAGGGGGGAGGAGGAGGACTAGCCCAGGGGAGCCCCTGATGTTGAGGGTGGCAAGCCCAGGCTTGAAGGCCGGGCTTCAGCCAGCAATGGGGTCTTACCAGAGCGCCTCCCTCCAGCCAGAGGGGCCCGGGTCTCCGCAGTGGAGGCCCCTGTGCCCTCCTCCCTCACCCCCTGGGCCGTGGCAGCAGCCGGGGGATGGGCTTTCTCCACTGCCCTGCTTGGCTCCTTCCCCCCCCACATACCCCGGGCCTCTGATTGGCAGAGTCCTTGGGCCTCATTCCCCGCTGAGCCCGCGGCCTGCCACCCCCGGGCAGCTGAAATGGAAACCCTGAAATGCAGCCCGGGTTGTCTTTGGTAAATGGCAGTTGAGGGCAGCACAAAGGGGGCCTGTTGGTCTGAATGCCGCCTGCCCTCCCCGCCCCCGCCCTGCCTGCCTGTCCTGGCCCGAGTCCCCGGGGGAGGCGGCGTGTGCCCCCCGGGCCTTCCCTTCCCTGGGGGCGCCTGTGGGCACAGAGGGGCGCCCGTGGGGTGTGTGTGTCCGGACTCACCTGTCCGTGCCCCCCCCGGGGCTGCCACACTGTCACCCCCATGTTACCGGCGATGCAACAGGCTCCCACCGGGCCACGGACCCATAGCCACCTTGGACCCACATTGCCTGCAGCCCTCTCCCTCCCTGTCTCCTGGGCCTGCCCTCCCCCCATCCCCCCCAGCCGGCATGGCTGGTGGCCAGTTTATCACCACATCCCGGCTTTTCCCAAGAAAGCCCTTCCTTCCTCTATCCCACGAGCAGGGCTGAGTCACCAGGGGGTGATTGGCCCCAAGTCTCCTCCCCCTTTTCCTGTTCACCATTTCTTCTCTCCTCCCCTCTCCCCTTCGCTCAGCTCCCCGCCCCCTTCAGAGACCCTGGGGGTGGGGGTGGCCGCTGGCCTCTCCTGCCCAGCCCTCCCCACCCCGGCAGTGGCGGTGGGCAGTGGCGGTGGGCCGGAGTCCAGAGTGAGTGCACCGGCTCCTTCGGTCTCCTTTGTCAGCGAGGCACGCGGGCGCTCTCCCCAGAGGCCAGGGGTCTCGCAAATGTTAGTCCCGGCCCAGGCTGGCCAGCCTAGGGAGGCAGGGGAGGGCCAGGCCCAGGGCTGGGTCCAGCACAGCGGCTGAGCAAGCAGTGTGTGACATGGGGTGAGTCCCTGCACCTTCCTGAGCTTTCCATGCCCCTCCCGAGACAGCTGCTGGCTCATCAGGGCTCGGGAGGGGGAGCAAGGCCCCATTCCTGCAAGGCCTGGCAGAGGCCCTCATACCGGAGGCCGCTGGGCTCTTCGGGGTCCAGGAGGGAGCAGGGCAACTCCAGAGTCCTCCCCAAGGAGGAGTGTCCTGGAGATTTGCAGCTTTAGAGGCCTTTGTCCTCTGGGCAATGGCAGGTGTGCCCTCACATGGGGTTTCCGGATCATGGGCTCTGGGCCAGGTCCTGTGCTGGGCTGGGTTCTTAGAGAAGCTGGGGCCCCGGCTGGGGTTGCCCGCTGGCTCCCGGGAGGCAAGATGATAAATGAGAACAGTATTGTCTCTCCTCGGCTAAGCGTGCCAGCCTGAGGTCTCTGTGGGCCAGAGGTCTGGGAAGACTTCACGGAGGAGGAGGCATGGGGCTGGGTTATCACGCAGATGGCTGGAAAAATGAAGCAGGTGGGAGCAAAGGCACCGGTGGGGTCTGGGAGGCGGGGGTTGTCAGGTGAGTAGTGAGGGAATTCAGGGCCGCCCATGGCAGCGCTGGCTGGGGAGACTCTGATGCTAGGGTCGCTGTTACAATGCCTGGTCCCTGCCTCAGAGGACATGCTGGCCAGTGGGAAGGTCAGACGGGCTGTGTGAGAAGCCATGGCATTGGACCCCCAGCGGGGCTGGGGTTGGGTGGGGGATGCTCCTAGGCCTCTTCTCAGGACGAAGGAGACCACAGTAAGACCCTAGTCCCTTTCCTTCAGCGGTAGCAGAAAGCAAAGCTGGCTGAAGATGGGGAGGACTAGGTGGGGGTGGTAATCTTAGAAGGGGACGTTGGAGCAGATAGTTGGAGGAGATGAGCAGGGAATTTGGATATTTGAGGCCATCGGAATAGCGGGTGCAAAGGCCCTGTGGCTGGGGCGCGCTTACTGTGATCTGGGCACGGCTGGTGTGGGGTAGGCAAGGGCCACAGGGCTGCGGGGAGGAGCTTTGAAGGCTGGCAACTAACTTCTACGGAGAGCCTTCGAGGGCTTTGTTTTTTATGTGATCTTTAGAAGTTAGGATGTAGCTTACAGACCATGAAATTCACCCATTTTAAATATGGCGTGGTGACACATTTGATATCGAGTATAGATGTCAGTTGTGGGGCCGTCACAATCCGATTTGGGAACACTTCTGCCTTCTGGAAAGTTCTCTCATGCCTGTTTCCAGTCAGTCCCAGCCCCCACCCCCAGGCAACCCCCGACTGCGTTCTGTGTCTAGTAATAGTAAATAAGAGTCATGCAATATGGAGTCTTCTGTGTTCGCCTTCTTGCAGTTAGTGTAACATTGTTTTTTTTAAAGATTTTAAAATGACAGAGAGAGAGAGCGTGCACAAGTAGGCAGAGAGGCAGGCAGAGAGAGGGGGAAGCAGGCTCCCCGCTGAGCTTAGAGCCCGATGCAGGGCTCGATCCTAGGACCCTGAGATCGTGACCTGAGCCGAAGGCAGAGGCTTCAACCCACTGAGCCACCCAGGAGCCCCTTAACTTTTTTTTTGTTTTAAAGACTGTATATTTGAGAGAGAGAGAGAGAGAGAGAGAGAGAGCATGAGTGGAAGGAGGGGCAGAGGGGGAAGCAGACTCCCCACTGAGCAGGGACCCCCCCCCGCCCCGGGATTCGATCCCAGGACCCTGAGATCATGACCTGGGCCGAAGGCAGACACTTAATCAACTGAGCCCCCACCGCGCCCCATGATTAGAGTTCTTTATGTGTTCTGGATATGTCTTTTATTAGGTGTGTGATTTGTAATGTTTTTCCCTGGGGGGGTTTCAGGCAGAGAGGGACCCCAAAAGGCATGGGGAGAGGGCTCCTTGCATCAGGATTTCCTGGGTTCGAGGGCCCCCCTGCTAAGCTGCTGGGGCAGGAAGCCATTTAGCCCTAGGGGAGGGGAATTTGCAAGCTCCCTTGCCCTGCTGCTGGCTCAGCAAGTCTTTTGGGCTTGTAGGGGGAGGCCAGCAAGTCCTAACCAGACCAGAGAGTGATGCCTGCAGCCACAGGCACTTCCCTGGGGAGTGAGCTTGCTGGAGGGCCCATTTCTGGGGGAGAGGGAGCCCCTCATACACCCGCTGATGGAGCGACTCCGGGACTTCGGAATTCTGGGGGCGTCAGAGTCATCCATCAGAGGAGTGAGATGTTGGGTTTGGAAGGCTCTAGAACCAGGCCAAGGCTGGCAGCCATGTCCCATGTCCCTGGGCGTGTATGCATCACCCCATGTGCCTTGGGGGTTATCTGTCCCCGCTCTGAGGGCCGGCAGCCCAGTTGTCCCATGGGCTGTGCTAACATGGAGTCGCCGGGTCAGCTTGCTCGCGTGACCGCCATTCAGAGGGTACTTGGCAGACCTCTGCTGTGAGCCTTGTGGGTTGGCTTCTATATTAGTCACAACTTTCTGGGCTGCAAGCGACAGGGCCCCTCCAGTAGGTGTAGGTAAAAAGAGAAACTGGTGCCCGGGTGTGAGGATGTGTTGACGGTTGTAAGTGAGGCGCTCAAGGGACCAGCTTCAGGCTCGGCTGGATCCAGGCCCTCCATCCAAATCCAGCAACTCAGCTCCGCTTGCTCTACGTTGGCCTCATTCCCTGGCAGGCTCCTCCATGCAGTAACTTGCATCGCCCTGTAGCTCCCGGCATCCAGCCCACACCCAGGCAGCCCCAGAGAAAGGAAGTAATCCTTCCTGAAGGTACCAGCCAGAGTCCAGGCCCTGGCGCTCTTTGGGTCATATGATCTTTCCTTAACTAACCCTGGGGTCTCTGGGCAGGCCTGGGTCATGTGCCGAGCACCCAGAAAGCACAGATTTCCCCCGTTCCCGAGGTCCCCGGGGGTGATGCTTTTGGCAGAGTCCTCTGCTCGTCTGCTGGAGCTCTGTGTTCCCTTTCCCCGCTGGACAATGTCCTCGCCAGACAGAGGCCTGCAGCCCTGGGGCAGGGTCGGGTCTGGCCCCTGGCAAGCCTTCCGTGAGCGTCTGTTGCGAGAGAGGGTGTGTGCCAGGGCAGTGGAGGAGGGGCCGGGGGACGCGGGCCTGTCTGGTCTGCACCAGGCTGCCCACGCGTGTCAGAAGCCATACCAGCCTGTGCTCGGGGGAGGCCCCCTCAGCCGCTGGTGGCTGTGCTGACCTGCAGGGTCCCGGTGGAGTGCTGCTGCTGAGGTCAGTGCGGCTATCCCGGCAGACCCCCAAACCAGCCTGCTCCTGATCTCGCCTTGTGGGCCCAGGAGGTGAGCAGAGACAGCACGCCCGACCTCGGGGTCCAGCAGACCAGGACACGTGCCAGGCCACACTGGGACCACATGGGACCCACGCTTGCTGCCACTGCCCTATGCCTCAGTTTCCCTAGCTAGGAAAGAGGGCTGTGGTGGTCCTAGCCCCACGGGGTAGGGGGCGCAGGAATCCTGCTGTGTCACCACTGGGGGGCCCTGGCCAGTGGTGACACGATGAGGTGATGGCTCTCGTCTGCCTGCAGGTGAGGGGCGATGGCGGAGAGGATGTGACCCGCACGGACCCTTCTCCACGCACCGACTGGCACCACCATGCAGAAGCCCAGCGGCCTGAAGCCCCCCGGCCGAGGGGGGAAGCATTCGAGCCCCGTGGGCCGGACGTCCACTGGGTCAGCCTCCGTGTCCGCAGCGGCGGCAGCCACCAGCTCCAAGGAAGGTGCGCGAGGCCGAAGGTGGTGGGTGCAGGGCTGGGGTCGAAGGTGGTGGGTGCGGGGCCGGGTGTGGGGAGCGGTCCTTCCAGAAGAGCCCCTCCGAGACCAGCCTGGGGGCTGGCAGCACACGGAAGTTCTCCCTTCTGTCTGGTTGTAATCCCTTTCCTAATTAACTAGCTTTATGCGTGTCGTTCCTTCTCACGCTCCCCTCCTTGGGGGGCAGGTCTTACTGCAGGCTCCGCTTGGGGGCGAGAAAGTGGGGATCCGGGCGCGCATGGCCCTGGGCCCAAGGTCACTGAGCTGGAATTCAAACTCCAGCCTCCAGCAGCCTCCCTGCCCCAGCGTGTTCCCTTCCAGGGTCTGGGATTGTCCTAGTGCCCGGGCGGGGGGTGGGGACAGCTGCTAGGGAGCCCACGGTGGAATGTTTAGGAAGTTTGATGCAGAGGTGACGTTGCCTATAATCTAACCCCCCTAGAGGTACCCGTTATTTTGGTTTCTATCCTTCTACTTTCTTTTTTTTCCTACCTATTTGCAATTGTGCTGCATCTATGACTTGAAAATCTGGTTTTTCTCCCTCTAATATGATTCGAGTGGATTTTTCCACGTCATTTTTAATGGATGTAAGATATCCGGTCCGTCCAACGACTCTAAATCAAAGGCCTGCTTTATTGACACAGTCTCAGACCCCCAGAGCTTTCGTTCTGAGCAAAACCGGATGTGGGCCCAGCCCTCCCTCAGGGCTGCTGGTCTGGTGGGGGAGGTGGAGTGTCATGAGATCATAGAGCTGGGGCCTGACCAGGTCTGGGAGGTCAGCCCCCAGGAGGAGACAGGTGAGCCGAGGTCCGGGGGGTGACAGTCTATTACTTGAAGAGGGGACAGCGTTCCAGGTAGAGAGAACAGCTCTTGCAAAGGCCCAGTGGCAGGAGAGCACATGGCAAATGTAAGGGAGGGAAAGAGAGTGTGGCTGGCGTGTGGCCAGTGACAAGTGTGCTGGTAAGAGAGGATGGGCTGTGGTGGGGACAGCTTGGGGCTGTCCAGGGCATTTCGCTTTTGTTGGAATAACATTGGGAAACCATTGGAGAGTTTTAAATCGAAAGGGATATGATTAAAAAAAGGACTGGGAACATGTTCTTAACTGATTCTCTGTGGTTGGGGATGACTGGTTCCTGTTTTTCCACTTTGATAAATGACCTGTGATGAATGTCTTCGGGCACAAATCCTGGTTTTTCTGATTATACTTTAGCCGAGCAGGCAAGACTCTGTCCAGGGTAAGACACTGATGGGTACAGAAGTTTGGAGAGACAGAAAAGTAGCCAGGGGCCAGATTACGTAATCTGGGCCCTGGGTGGAGTCAAGGAAAGGCTGAGCCAAAGGTATGGACAGTTGGCATAAGCAGGGCCCCGCCACAGCCAGAGAGCCAGGGTGGGAGGTTAAGGAAGCTGTGTGGTGCGGTCGCTGGGCACACTTGTGCGGGCGGGCCTGTCCAGAGCAGCTCCATTGGAGGCCCAGGCTTCCTTTCCAATGTGGCAAATCCTTCTTTACTCATGAGAGACCTTAGTGAGCCACGGGAAGAGGCCGGAGAGAGAAAACAAAGGGGAAAGGATGTTCCATGTGGACTGAAAGCAGCGATGCAAAGGCCCTGAGGCAGGAACAGACCTGGTTTGTGAGAGAAGGAAAGAAGGAAGACAAGTCTGGGTAGAGAAGAGTATGAAATGAGGTTGGGGGAGGTGGCCGAGGCAGATCATGAAGGATAGGGGTTCGGGTTGGTTTTCGGGGTGACCGGAGCTGTGGGAGAGTGTTAGCAGAGCAGTGGCGGGACGCTCACATCCCTCAGACCTCTGTGTGGAGAACGTGTTGTGGGGTTAGAAGCTGGGGGAGGACCGAGTGAGGAGGCGTGTGGCCCCCCAGGTCAGGAGCCTGCACTCACTGCCGGGGCTAGGGGCGGTCAGAGGCTGAGCACCAGGAGTGGGCTATCAGGGAAGGCTTCCCAGAGGAAGCAGGAATGAGCTCCGCCTTCAGGATGGAGGGAATGGGAATGTGGAGAGGAGGAGGAGGAGGACCGTGGAGGAAGTGGCACGGACTGGACGGGCAAAGGCACTAAGCCGGCTGAGCTTGGCCCAGGTGGGGGTCGTGTGGCCACTGTCTGGGAGAAGGTCACCAGCCCGACCTGACCCTCTTGCCTCCTGGAGAGAGCTCCGCAGCACCTTCTGGGTTTGGCCCTCACTGCTCCCTCCCTGCTCTAGAGGGGTCTGAATCTGGCTCTGGTCCAGCCCTCCATGCCCCTTCTAACTGCCCCTGCTGTGTGACCCTGGAAGAGGGACTTAACCTCTCTGAGCCACAAATGGGATCCAGAGAGTTAACTGAGTGTGAAGTGCCTGCAGGTACAAAACTCCGGAAAGACTCCTTACTTTTCCTCTCCCCATCCCTCGCATCCCTCCCCAGCCCCAGTGCAGAAAAATTTGCAAGTGATAAAAGAAGCAGCCACTACCCTTCCGGTCTACTTGAGGCCACCGTTGGAGCTCTTTCTGGTCTTTTCTCGGGTGGTACGTCCATCCGCAAGCAGCTCCATCGTGGACCGTGCCCTCATCTCCGTCTCGCTGTGGTACTGCCTTCTGTAGGAAGTGCCCCCTGAGCCGCTGCGGTGTCTTTGCCCCCTGTGTGGCCTGCTACTTGCTTCTGGTCACACCGTGCGGGGCAGAGCCCATGAGGGTGGGGGCTGGGCGGTCTGACTCTGCCGCCGCCCCCCACCCCCGCCCCCAGGATGGTTCCAGAGAGAGGAGGTACCACGCTGTGAATGCCCGATTGATGACAGAGGCACACCCCCGTGCCTGCTGCTGGGCACGCAGGCGGCAAAGGCCGCAGCTGGGCTCCGAGTCCCCCTCCCTCCGCCTGGGCAGGTCCTGGCAAGACTCGCAGGCGACGGAGAGGGAGCAGAGAGCCCAGAGCAATTGGCCTGGCCAGAGGGGGAAGGAAGATTTCTGAGGCCCACAGCTGCTTTTGTCCCTGCTGGGCTCCGGGTCTCAGAACCAATCTCAGGAGAGGAGGGGGGGGCGGGTGGAAGCCCCAGAGAAGGTCAGGGTCACCCCCTCTCCCCTGCTGGCTCCTCTGCCTCCCTCACGCACCCCGTGGGCCTAGCTGTCTGCTGTCCGAGGTGCGGGACGTGCCCACCCCTGTAGGAGGCCGGGACCCTGTGTGAGGGGCACTGGGGCCCCAGAGGGGGTCTGGAGGAGTCTGGAGCCCGGGGGTGGGGCAGGGGGAGCGGCAGCAATAAACTGGCCCTGCTCTGGGAATCGGGGCAGTGGCTCCCTCCCAAAGTATGAGCTCAGCCTCCGGGCAGAGGGTCTGGCCGCGGGCCGGGCCTGGACCGATGCCCCTGCCCCCCACTCTGTGGGGACAGAGGGGGGCTGCGTCAGTCCCCAGAGCTGGGACATACAGGAAGTGGCAGGAACAAGGGGCCCTTGGAGGGGGACCGTCCTACTGGGAGGAGGCCCAGAGGTGATCAGAGCAGGGGGAGCGCAGGAGGGCGGTCTAGGGCCCTCCAGTGTACAGAGGCTCATGAGGTGCGGGGGGCAGCCCAGCCAGGCAGGATGGAGCACCGCCCCCCCGCGGCCCCGGAAGCTGTTTCAGATCAGGCTGTCAGGGAGGGCCTTGCTTAGGAGGTGACATGGGTACAAAGATCTGAGTGACAGACAAGCAGCGGCCAGCCCAGCTGAGCTGGGAAGAGCATCCAAGCAGAGGGGACAATGGCTGCAAAGGGCCCGAGTCTTGTGCAGCTCGAGTGGGCAAGGGGGAGTGTTGGGAATGGGTCCAGGCAGGTGCCAGGGCCCCAGGGGGAAGCTGGGAGCTGGCGCGGGATTGGGGGCGCCTGGGGCTTTGGAATCCATCCTGGGCCTGAGGGAGGAGATGGGGGTCCCGGCTTCCAGGCAGGCGGCCAGGACTGCCGCTGGAGTATACCTCTCCTTTGCGGCCAGAGCCCTCTGGAGGGGTCGGCAGGGTCTGCCGCTGCCCTATGATGGTGGGCAGGAGGGGACAGCGGCAGGCTGTGGCCAGGAGCCCTCAGCCCTTCCCTGGGGTCTGCTGCTGGGCCTCAGGGGAAGGCAGGCCAGGCCGGGTGGTGGGGGTCCCTCCTGGCCCCAACGAGCATGGGTGACATGGGGAGGGCTCAGGGCTGCCAGGCCAGGGACAGACACAGGCCACTGCTGCGCTCCCTCTGCCCCTCCCCCAGGGCAGGTGGGTCCTCGTGCGGGGGTCGGGGGGGCTTTCCTCTCCTCCCCGGCGCTGTGGTCCCACCCCAGAGGTGTCCCATTTAGGGAGAGAGCTGTTCTTTCCGTTTTCAAGCTGACGAAACTGAGGCTCAGGCCGTCATCGGAGTTGCCCAGAGCAATAGGGCCGGAGAGTGGCGGGGCTGGGGAGGAGGGTCTGGCTCAGGCCATGGGCACCTACCTCTCAGCCGCAGGGGTGGGGTGGCTGGGACCCCCTGGTTCAGTCCTGTCCTGGGCAGGTGGGACAAGTGATCGGTTCTGTTAGGCTGGTCACCAGTGTCTCCCAAATTGCCTGTGGCCTTTCCTCCTACCGGGGACCAGGACATGGAGATCAAGGAAGAGCGGGCATGGGAGCTTCCCCTCAGGCGGGGAGCAGGCCACTCGGGGCAGGGTCCACCACCCATACCACGATCCCCGCCCAGAGGGCCTGCACAGGGCCGGTCCCAGAGCTTCTCCGTTCTGGCTATGGAACTGGGGCCCAGATGCCCCCCCGTACCCCGTGGGTGCTCCAGACCCGGGAACCAGCCTGATGTGGCCCAGGTGGAGCCCACAGAGCTTGCAGCTGCCCCTAGTCTTAGACCCTAGCCCTGCCCCACTCCAGCCCCCGAGGATGGCTTTCTCCGTGGTATCCCGCTCCCTGGGAGGGCGGCCAGCAGCATCCCCATTTTCGGGGACTCGGCCCCGCTGCCGCGCACATGTGGGCAGACTTGTAGCCTTTGCGCCCGCACAGCCTGCCAAGCCCC